CTTAAGAGGAAATGACACCAAATTTATATGGCATGCCTTTATGTTTGAGAAATTAAAGTATATTACAAGAGATATTACAAGATAGATAAGTGATCCATCCCCAACCTGTATCTACAATTCAACACGACTCTGTATTTCCGCGTATGTTGGTGCCAGGGTACACATGGTATAATGATGAAGCGGGTTCCTCCTTGTAAAGATGCATGAACTAACAAAACACTCGTTTGTGGGGTAGCGACAACCAGCATTTTGTCGTCTAGGAACCCCTTTATTCAAAGAAGATGGGCACGCTCTCTATATTATTCATTACCACAGCATCATCGGGCCATATTTTCTACGCAGCAGATTAATGCTACGCAGCAGCATCACGTCGCATCATCGGGCCATATTTTTGACACTGCCATCGCTAATGAAGTGTACTAGTCACTGTTTCAGTAATTTGTGAACCAGTTGGATGATGAGGAGCTTACACTTGGCTGGTACCAAAAAGATGGGCCCACATGCCACACATCTATAACGAGTATGACTGCGGTTGAATCATTATTCCAGACTTGACCTTCTTGACTGTATTCTATGAGATAAGGTAATGCGTACAAGCACAAACCACGCACTATCGAAGAGTTACATCAAATTATTTCGCCGTGAAATCCTGGCAGTGACGACCAATACGCTTGCAGCAACATACGCGAACATGCAGTGCCGTCTTGAACAGTGAAGGGAGGAGTGATCACTTCCAGCACCTCCTGTGAATGCACTTTCGTATCTCAAACATAAAGGTATGGCACGTAAAAATTTGGTATCATTTTCTATTGTTGTGCCCAGTAGTTATAATCGCAATGCAAATAATTTTCAAGAAAGAAGGTCAGAAGTTACTTTTCAGTGGAATATGAGTCTAATATCTCGGTGCTTAATTATTTTATCTCAAAAGGCTTTATAAATCAGTATATTCCTTTTTGATGAACACAATCTTTTACTACTCCGTAACTTTTTTAATGTTTTTTTAAGAAAATAAAATAACCTTTTTATTTAACGCTTAAACGAGCATAAATGACTATTTGTGCAACAGACTGACGACCACCATTTGCGGGTACCTAAATTAATATAAGCCAAAGTCAAATATAGGTAACCTAAATTAACATACGATAAAGCCAAAGTCAAATATAGGTAACCTAAATTAACATAAGATAAAGCCAAAGTCAAATATAGGTAACACAGTCGGAAACTATACATGAAAGCTGAGTTAGGGTACTTATCGGCACGTATTAACGTCGGCTAGCAATATGCTAAAGCCGGAAATAAACGTAAGCAAAGCTGGAGATACTAAGTAACAGCAAGACGAGACTGCAAGACTAACGTTCCAATCCTCAACTTAAATACAAAAACAACTAATTTGCATTCTGTTGAGGACTACGGAAAGAAGAAGTTATAGTAAAGGTTCAGATCATAAGAACTGCTTAATTAACATAAAACCGTATTAGCATTTCATTCTGTACAAAGGCTGAGACTTAATAAGGTCACACAAATTCAATAGCCCATTGTTTAATTCCACTCGTTGGAGAATGTCTTAAATTTAGTTATAGCTCCTTTCCCGGTTGAATCCGAAGTAGGAATGATACTAAGATTTTATAATAATTAAAGTCTGTTGCTACCACTTTTGCTTTGTTAATTTCAAAATGAAAATTATAAGTTGTAGGAAAAATTTGCAATTTCTGTTTTGGATTCTAACTCACATTGTGTTACATAACCTTCGTTGTTGCCCAAATCTGATATTAATAATATAGTGATTAAACACTTTCAAGTAAGATAAAAATTGCAATTTCTGTAAACTTTAATCACGCTTGCTGGTCTTTAAAATAATTAATATCTATTAATTTTAAAATACAAAATTCATTATAACGCGAGGAGCGTAGGCAGTTAATAAATTGAGGAAATTAAACGTATAAAGTTTATAATGGCCAACAACCATTACTTTGACTAATTATTCGATAGAGAAAGTAGCCACGCCCAGCAAATTAATATAGTGTATTTTTAATGATCCCGCTTATTTCAGTGATTAATTATCCATTACCTTTAATACATTTTACATATTAACGGATATTGTTTAATTATCCACAGTATTCGAAAAGTTCGAAACAATACGTAGGCACTTAGTTTATCATCTAGCAAATGATTAAAATACCTTACGCTGGAAATGGGTTGAAGAAGGCAAATAGTTGCAGATTCTATTTTCAACCAAGATCAGAAGCTGAAAAATTTAAAACGGTGATTTATTGTTTTATAGTTTTTCTATTTTTTATGATTTTACAGTCATGTCTGAACGGAAGGCATGTATTGTTAACTATCTGAAATATAATAGTTTGTTCGGAACGCAGTTTTGTTTTCTTCCTAACAGCAGGCTTAGTTGAGTTTTTCCAAGCCAACTTCACACTTAACCCTTTCCGCCACGCTACCTTTTAAAGTCGGAGTTTTGATTTAAAAAAAGGTAGGCAGTCTTATTAGGCCTAGAGGGTTACACAAGTAAAATTTTATGAAGATATCTTATCGTTTTAATCACTTACCGTTATATCACTTATCGTTTTAACTCTGTGGGTGTGCCCAAAGTGGCACACTGATTGAATATGCTCGAAAGGTGCTGAACGAGCAATTGTGATGAACTGACCATGAGAGCGAAGAACAAAGATACAACTCTCATTTCCTAGATATCGTGATCCGTCGGGCACACTAGGTTCGCCATTTGATTTAGCAAGCTTTCAAGGTAAAAAATAAAAATCAATATATAATAGGAGATTGCCTACACAAAAATACATAGAATTTCTATGCCAAGTCCTTTATCCCAAAAAAATCTGAAATTTCTTGAAAATGGGGTCTTAAAAACTAACATTGCAAATCTTGGACGGCTTGTGTGAGCTTCATGTACTATAAATAAGAGGTTCAAGTAACTATAAATCCTTTTTCACTCAATTTTTCTGTGCATACAGAAGGAAATTTTTAGGTGTGCCGCAAAGGGTTAAACCGCATAATCATTATATATTTTGACAGCTGATGTAGCAAGGGTTGTTTGTGAAAAAGTTCGATTAATTCTACGCAGCAGTTTTTGTTTGGTGCCCTTTCAAATATGGAATGTAAAAAGCAACTTTTGAGTAATTTTACTTTTTTATTACCAAAAAGGTAAAAATGCTATTCAAGGAAGAAATAAAGCGCCGAGAGTGCTGACTACTACTCAACAGCGGCATGCTAAGAAGGCGGGAGAAATACCTTATATACTTCCTCTTTTAAAGGGCGACTGGAGGTTAAAGGATCCAGGCGCCAAATCCTGGTACTGGAGAATCGCCATCCACCACCGTTTAGTTCGGGTGCCACTATAGAGATATTAGGTTTTTTTTAATCAAGAGAGTTGAAAAATGAGCAATGGCCTTGCCGGGACGCGAAGCACGGACCTCTTGCGTAAGCGCCGATCGTGCTGACCGCTACAGCACGAAGGAATGCTAAAAAGGTGAGAGAAATACCTTATAACGATTTAAATTTATTGTTAAAATATTCATAAGTTCTCACTGCATGTAGGTGGTGTTTTTGTAAGTGGCGGGGAACGTGGGCAGCATTCTTCTACCATTGTGGTTAATCGATTTAGCGCCACGCTCTCCATTCTCTAAAGCTGTACTCATGTGGAACTTATGCGGAAGTTGTTATTTCCTTATGCGGAAGTTGTCTGAGAATATGTTTGATTTCAAGAGTAGTGATATTAGTGTCATTCTCCGTCTCCAGGTCTGTGGGAAGGTCTCTTACTTGTGCATGTATTGGAGAGTCATCTTCGGCAAAGTCTTGCAAGGAAACTTCATCAAGAACTTGTCGTACTGTGGCTGTTGTTAGTAGAGTTTGTATTTAGGACATGAAAAGTATTAGGTGCTATTGTGGGCACGAAGTACGTGCAATTTTGGTGAAGAGTTTAATTAAATAAAATGGCAACTGAATCCCTCTCCTCTGTGTACTATTTCTTCACGCCTGTGCGAGAGACTTCGCCTGCCTTACCAACAGATGGTATCTTTGAAAGTTTACAGAAAGGGTGGGATCGCACAGTACATCCATTACAATCCGAAAATTATAAAATTGAAAGATTAGTTGAGAGAAGACTTGCACGAAAATCTAAAGATTTGGTCCACGGAAATTTTAGAAAATTTAATATGAAGCGTGATCGCTTCTAGCAGATATAAAGCTCTCAAAGAAATCCATCAGATTTTTATGAAGACATAATCAATTTTTAAAGGAAACAGAACGCATTTTTTTCGAATTCCTTCTTTGTAGAGCATTGTCATCTTACTAGAATATGAGGAATTATTATATTCCTGTTAGAGGAGTCAGAAATAAGTTTACTAAGGGTAAGGTCCGGAGGAAATGGACCATCTTGTGCAATAAATACCACATCTGTGACCACTGGTGGAATATTTTTCCACCGTGGTCTTCTTTCAAATATATTTACAAGTCGTCCATTCCTTCGATATTACGTAGTTATACGTGACTTTCCTTGTAAGGATCTTAAGTTTTACTAACGTTTATTTTATTTTAAATCTTTACTATCACTTCTTATTTTTTACTTCCGGCCAGAATTATAAGTGTGAAGGTTTTTATGCAAGTGTCGGGAACGCCAAGATTTAAGTGTGGCCTTTTGCCAAGCGAGAGAGGGAGCAGTGAGTCAAAAGCAGGCCGCTTCCTTAGAATTTAACGCAGTTGCTGTTTGCCTCCAGGCCAGAGGTTTTAATCCTCTTGATAATTAAATGTATTGAGTGTTCACAGTCTCTGTGCTACATACGCTTCCTGTTATTAAAGGCCAACTTCCCGTGTATATTCAAATTAAGTTAGAGTTTAGTTTTGTTTTACTTTTACTTTAGAACCCAAGTGGCGGGTCAGTGTATCCGAAGTACGGAGTTATTGATATAGAGAAAATAAGGGTTTTGTATAACCCTTCGTCTGTATCCTGTCTACTTACCACAATTAGTGAACATAGCTTTAGTAAGCTCTCTGTTCCGAGTCAGGTCCTTGTATGTTCCCGAAGAAGGTTAGAAGGAACATTGACCCTGATATCCTGAATACTACCTAACTTCTACAGCAACATTATATTTATTTATCTTGTAGAATCATTAGGTTATATCGATAGAGGAACATGAAAAATGCGCAATTCCCTCGCCAGGATTTCTCGAATACGCGTCAAGCCCGCTTCCACTTACACAATGAAGGCATACGGAAAAGAGGGAGAAAAATGCCTTGCAATCTAATTGAATGTTTACCATTTAATGCATTGTTTGTGAATTTTTTGAAGATACGTATGAGTTTATCTTAGTTGACGAGAGTGGCAGTGGATGAACAGCTTTATATGAAACATAAGGAAGCTGATATTCTGTGCTAATGAAGCTTTTTCTTGTTCAATTCTGAATTCTTGCACATCATCTAGGGTCAATGAATTGATCAGTTGTCACGTAAGCGGGTTGATTACATAAATGAAGTATCATTTATATTCGTACTCTGTATACAATTTAGATTTGCAAAATATCTATGGCTTTTACTGCACTAGACCTGTGGACTGTGAACATTGATTTATGTGATTTCGGCAAAGCCTCGAGGGATACCTGCCTAAGGGAAGCGATGCCTTCGTGGAGGACTTTCTAAGGGAAGCTGGCTCGTATACATGTTGCACATAGGAAAACCTCGAAAACGCCCATGTAGACAAGCCCCTTCGCGGGATTCAAAACTCGGACCGAACTACCAGTGTTCAGTGACTTTACCATTCAGCCGCAAATGGACCTGTGCTGTGAATAAATCTAACAAAACTTTGGTGTTTTTTTTAATAACCGACATCTAAACCCATGCAGCAGAATCTCGATTACCCGATTTACTGCGAAAAAATTAATTTAAAAATTATTGTTATTACTTCAAGTTTTCTTCAAATTATATTGTCTTATTGCTACTACAGTTTAAAATCATGATATGTGGAGCAATAAAATTTAACATCTTATCGACAAGACTACAAAAATTCAGTCTAATAATTTATGTATATCAATTAGTCACAATATTCTTATGCCGTTATTAAATGTTTTAACTGCGTTAGCTGAACCTTACTTTCCATCTAGCATATGATGTTTTAAGACTACATTACAAATCCTATTGATATAATCCCTTCAATAGTTAATCCCTATTGAAGGGATTCTTACACGTTATGAACTCAAAACATTTGAAAGGCAAGAAAAACGCTGCGGATTGTCAACTAGCGTTTTTACAAAACAACTTGTTGAATAGTATACAGCACTTATGTAAATGCTTTGCCCATGGGTGAGGATTTCCTAAGAATATTTTGGACCTGATAAGTGTTTTATGACTGACCTCTCTGGGACTAATATAGCCCAACAACAACGCGGATACAAGCCAGTTTCTCTTAAAAATACTCCTCGAAGGTTCCCTCCCATTAGGCAAACTGCCTATGAGTTGCTTTACATTAGTCAATTAACTTACTTTAATCTAACCTCTGGAGATTATTCCCACCTGGGGAGATTTCGACTTTTATTAATGAAATTTGTGCAGTTGACTTCAAATAACTGATGTAAATAGATACCTCAAACATATTTCCCATTTCCTTTAATTTCTTGTGCAATTATGTGTCATTCTGGTTATACGTTGAACGGTTATACGTTGAAGTATACATATTAATAAACGAAGCGGTATTTTCCAATGAAATAACTTAGCTATTATAGTAAAAACAAGTTACACACTGATTTTGAGCTTGTCATGATTACATTTCTTTGTTTCGTGCCAAAACTGTTCAATAAAATACTTTTTACATTTGTGTCGTCCTTTTCACTGTGCCAAGGTTGCTGCTGCAAATGGTTTCCAGTCAACGGGTGGGTGTTAATAATCGGTCTTTGATAGCAGTACGTAACCTAGCTGTCCCTGACTAGCTCTGCTGGTTGTCGGATAGACTAGTTATTTGACTAGTTTTCGGATTACAGTATTGCCTTATTTATGTCGAATAATCGGAATTCTTATGTATTCCTGAATCAACTTTATACATATTTCAGAACTTAACGTACAAAAATAGTTTTTCGAACTCGGAATGTAACCTGTTTAAAAATGTATACTTTACCCATGTAAGGCACATCGATATCGTTGATGCGGGGGGGCTGTGGCCCGCTGTCGAAAAAGTAGGAGGCTTTGAATCCTTGACCAGGGAAATGACTTCTACTATGAAATTCAACGAAGAGATTGCTGCCCGTGGAAACGAGCTCAACGAAGGTGTTGGTATTGCAGAGATGGCCGATGATTGGAGCGCTTTTATTGGACCCATCGTAAACCAGAATCACATCTGGACTATTCAGGCAACTGTAAGGAAAAACAAAGTTTATATTATAGCAAATTATCTACCATAGAAATATATCATTTAGCTGTAACCATACATATCTTTTAAACGAAAGGTAATGAGAAAGCAGAAACATGAAAATATGCTGATAATTCCGGATTCATTTTCCTATTTGTCATTCAATGTTGTCAGTGTCAATCAATGCCAATGTCAATGTTGTCAGTGTCAATCAATGCCAATGTCAATGTTGTCAATGTTCAATGTCAATGTTATCATAAAAGTGATAACTGAAAATCATCATTAAAATTAGTAGTTAGAGTAAAAATTTAAGTATGTATTTTAACTCCGGATGTCTCTTTGCTTTAATTAAAAATTCAAGAGGCTTATACCAGTGGTTCTCAATCGTTTCTGCCCCATGCAGATCATGCACACCACTAAGTGATCATGCACACCACTCCTTTTCAAAACTGGAAACAATGGATAAACTTTGGGGTTCCACCCTTTTATCTAACAGCTAATTACACTTTATTGCTCAAACTAAGAGTTAACAGATGGCCTCTTTCTGAGGGCGTACAGCAGAGCTTCCACTGTGCTTGAACTCAAAGTAATAAGAAACAAGACTTTAACTAAAACGATATAGACAAAGCTATCAAAATTCTAAGTAGTTGGCTCCTAAATATCGAATAAGCTAGCGAAGCTATCAAGGGTCTGTAATACGGCCGAGTCTAGTAACAGCTTGTAGAGACTTAGCCAAAAGGCATACGCACTTTAATCCCGAAGTCAGTGGAACTTCGGCTTAAATACTGCTTTTCCTCATTTGCATTAAACGCAATTCTAAAAACACATTCTGGTCGGAAATTGTAAGCTGAAATGAGGAAAGACAGGAAAGCAGTTTTAACTAAAATTAACTGTTAGAAATTTAGGATAAACATTACAATACATTTATTTAAATTAAATTACTTGTATTTCATAAATTAAGCAAGAGTCCTAATCCTAATCCTACAGAAAATTCTAATCCTATAGCGTCCTAATCCTAATCCTACAGAAATCCTCATCCCTTTCAAAGGATGAGGATTTCTGCAGACGGATAGCGCAGTTACACCAACATTTGTCCTCATTGCCCAGATGACATCCCACTGTCTCGCCATCACATTTTAAGCTGCCCAGAAATCCAGGCCAGACTGTTTAACATCGGCATTGAAGACCCAGTGGACCTACTTTATACTGATAGACTGCCGAGGTTGCAAAAGCTGTCTTTGACAGCATCGGAGCTACATAATTGCACATTGACATAGACACGACATCATCATGAAAGAATACCAAAACATGAATAGAAGGTTATTTTTTTACTCATTTACTGAAACTTAATACTTAATAAGTAAATAAAAGCCTAACCGCAATTCCTTCTGAAATTATGAATTCCTTAACCCAAGGAAAAGAATTCACCCTGGTTTGAAAACCCCTGATTTATGCAAAAGTCATTTTCGGACTTTTTCTCTGTTGGATGTTTTGCTCTTTTACTCATTTTAGTTTATCTCATTGGAGCTTCGTGACACATAACTTATCTCATTGAAGCTTCTGGACTTTAATGAATCATTTTTGGTTAAAGACAACATTGCACTCCCTTTTTCATTTTCTTTTCCAGAAATTTGCACGTGTGCTCAATCTCAATTTCGACTCCTCCCCTTTTTTCTGCTACACATAACAAGATTTAAATTATATGGTTTGCACGATTGCGGTGTAAAGTTACATTCCACACTTTTAAAACAAAATCTGATTGAATGATTTGATGTTTTATCAATGCACATGTAGATTTGCGCTAGGAATTTGTGATATGGGATTTAAAATAAATAATATGTATGTAAGCTATAACAAAATATGATAGCTGTTTCAAAAAATAATAATAATAATAATAATTGGTGACTTCAAAATTAACATTCTAAATTTGGTGATCTTCCTCCGGGTTCATCTTTTTTCACAGGTTTCAGATTTTTCTATCTTACGTAACGTTTTAATGCAGATACTCTTGTCCAATCAAATTAATTGTAAACCAAAACTCTAAACTGAAACTTTTCTGCTTCCCAACCTTCTTCCTCTGAAGTTCGGCCCACTAGCGGCCGAGCGGTAAAGTCGCTGAACACCGGTAGTTAGGTCCGAGATTCGAATCCCGCGAACGGGCTGGCTGCATGGGCGTTTTCGTGGTGTTCCCCATTTGTTACATGTATGCGAGCCAGTTCCCCTTAGAAAGTACTCCACGAAGGCATCCCTCCCATTAGGTAGATAGCCTAATGGGAGCGCTTTGCCATAATCACTCACACACATATCCTCTGAAGTTCTATTATACTCTCCTCTTTTTCGCATAAGCTCTCCTGCCGGCAAGACCCTTTTCATATATGCTGCTGCTTTCATAACGCTTTTTATGAATGCCGCTGTTGCAGAGTGGAAAGCATGATGACGTCGTACTTCAAATTGGAATTTACTGTATTTAAATACAATTAGGAAATATCTTATCTGCAAAAGGATGGTTTGATATACGTAAGGAAAAAAATAAAGATTGTGATTTTTCAAGATACGTTGTGCTAAATTGCGTCATCATGCTTTCCACTCTGCCACGTTCAGGCGACTATAGTCTTCTCAGTCATCTACGCAGTATCCAAACTGTTAAAATTTCCACCTTTTTTCATCTACGCATTTTAAAATCATTACATATACATGTAATATATGAATAAAAAGAAACTGAATTATGAAACTTATTTGGAATCAATTTGTTTAAATGTACCGGAAATTTTATCTCGTGAAGAAAAGGAACAATTTATAGAAATTTCCTGTCACTGAGCTCTAACTGAATATTTCAAAAATAACATACTTGTTAATTTTTTGCTGAACAGGAAAAAGAATTTAAAAGCATTTCAAATAAAGTTTTTTAGTCCAAAGGGTCTTTGTCTCTAAAAAAACTATTGTTTTCCTTTCGCGTTGAATCACTTTAAATGTCCGTTTCACTTTTCAAACTGTTGCCACAAAATGTTAGAGTCATGCATTATATTTGAAGAAATTAAATAATGAAAAATTTGCATAAATGTATATATATTTCTCGCATTGTGATAAAACAACGGTACATAAAGCCATCGAATTTTGAATGACGTAATCCTTCAGCGAATATGGGCATGTGGAAGCCCAAATTTGAAATTGGAATAAGTTTTACTATCGATTTCATATTTTGTAAAACTTTATCGAATTTTTGATGAACAAACTCAAGGATTTCAAAGCGAGCCATGGCAACGTTATACAGAAAAAACATTTTTATCTCTAGCACGCAACACTCTGTATCGGAAATTCTAAAGATGTGCTCAATTTAAAACTATTTTGCGACATTGCTTCTGAACTGAATTTTATGGTTTAAGTGCAAAGAACATGATATTTAATAAATAAAGGTAACACGCAAAACGTTAAAAAACACCCCTTTGAACGTAATTTAAAATCTGAAAACTTTCATTTTTAAAAAACCTTTTTTAGCCTTTTTGCACAATCTATTTGTGTGAGAAAATATTTGTTCTCTCGCGTTTTATTTGAAAAATAAATACAAAACAAAATTAAAATTGGATCCAAATTTGCGGTTAAAACTAAATTAAGTAAGATCAAATATAAAGAATTTGGTCTCTCTTAAACGAGCCCTAATTTCGCGTTAAATTTGAGAATTAAGGTATTATAACTTAAATTTTGATAATTAAAATGGTAACCAATTTTTAGTCTAACTTTTTATGTGTACATATTTTATACAAATAGCCAAAAGTTTGTGTAAATAGCATAAAGTATTTTTTAAATATTTGTATTTAGAAATTGAAAAATAATCATCGGAAAGTATAGTGGTAGTATTCATTTTATTTTTCAATTTTTTTTAGTACGTGTTAGTCAAAAGGTTTAGAACCCCTGGTCTAGAAAAAACAGGGTATCAGATCAGACATTTAAAAAACAATAATTTACATCTTAAATCTTAATCAAACGATCATGATTTCGTTCTAAAAATGTGTAAATTCCGCAAAGTGTGCTTTGAAAATTCAGACAAATTACGATATAAAATACAACCAGAATTTATACTTGCAAAACTAACCCCAGTTCTTCATACATCTATCTAAAATCTGTGAAATAATATTAGCATTTTGTAAAAGTTACATTTTATTTACAAGGATATAATTTCCGAAGCTATGGAGCGTAATCATTGTAGAAACAGGAGATTCATTTTGCCCCATACGATGAGTAAATACAATAATAGCATACAGTACATTCGAAAATTGCAGCTCAAAATCGGTTGTGATAGGTCCTGTGCTGAAATGCTCATCTTTCACTAATGCCTGGAGTGATTGTCAAGAATTATGAATCAAGTCCCGAGAACCAGTTATGCTTTGCATATTAATGTTCTGCGGATTGAAACGCATTTGCTTAATTGGTATATTCAAGTGTTAATACAGGTACCTAACGAATGTGCATTCTAGAATATGTATGGCGCGTAAATGTGATACATAAGTATATGAATATAAGCATTCTATTCATTATCTTTGTTTTATCGAATTTAGTATCTACAGTTCGTTTTTAAGTAGAAACATGTAGTGACAAATCTGCATCTACCTATTCGATGGGTTCGATTTTACAAAATAAATGTTTATACATGAAATCATAATTGTATTCCTGGTCAATATTTGAACCACTTTCATAAATGATGTACTGAAATTATGCCAAATAATAATTTAACACTTTTCAGAATAGTTTCATTTTGATATGCATTTTACATAAGCAGGAGTAACTAGAAGTTAAAATAAATAAATAAATAAATCTTAAAGCGTTCAGATTTTATATTAGCGCCCCAAAGGGGCGTTTTTTTAGCGTTTTATGTGTTAACTTATTTACTATATATCATGTTCTTTGCACTTAAACCTTCTAGAAACATTAGGTATTTTTACAAACAGGCAAGATGAAAAATGAGCAAGGCCTTCTTCGGGAATCGAGTCGCGGACCTCTGGAACCAGCA